CCAAATTTTATTCTCTTTTGCTTTTTTTTTTTTCTTCATACTTCTGTATAAAAAAACTATTCCCCTTTCTGAAAGATAATGCTAGACATGGCCACGGATTATCAGATCCGTCGACCCGGCCCGGTCCAACCTATAGACCACGGGTCAGGGTCCGTGCCTGGATTACACAATATCGTTCAAGGTCGGCCATTTTGAACATATGACCCGTCGAACCGGGTCGAGTCGGGTTGGGTCGATCCAGAAAAATCAACGGTTTTCATTTTTTTCGGGCGGGTCCTGGGTCTGGTCCGATTTTGAGTCTGAACCGGTCCAGTCTGCCAAGTCGTGTACCCGACACGTATCTAGGCATGGGTCGTCGGGCCGGTTCAGGGTCGGCCATTTTGAGCTGGCGACCCACTGGCCCGGCCAAAGAGTTGGCCATGTCTAGATAATGCTATTTTCCCTTTGTTGTAGATAATAACCCAGCATTTGGGCATTCTATTGAGTTCATATATCTCGATAAGGCAAAACCAGAGGTGATTGATGATTTTCTGGGTGACCACTAGGACTGCAAACGAGCCGAGCTGAGTTGAACATTGACCCTATCGAGCAGGATTAAATTTTTTTTTAGCTGCTCGAGCTCGAGCTCGGCTCGAGTTCAGTTCGAATTTTTTCAAGCAATTTTGTGAAATAACCATTAAATACATATATATATATACAAGGGTGTTTTAGTAATTTCATATATCTCGAGCTGCTCGCGAGCCGCTCGACAATGTAAAATATGGGCTCGAACTCAACTCGAGTTCGTGCTCGAGCCGCTCGAGCTCGACTCGAGTTCGGTCAAACTCGAGCTCGAGTCGAGCTTTGACTCGAGCGCTCGCGAGCTGCTCGACACGTTTGCAGCCCTACTGACCACGGATTAAATAGAGATTTATCCTTTTTGACGAAAATTATTTGTCACACAATAGTAGAAACAAAAAATAGGTCATCAGTGAGTAGGAAAAATTATATCCGTAATCTATCACTATCTCATGGTTATGCAAAAGTCAAATACGTATTGCTACACCAAAAATTTTCACTTGTCAGGTAAAACTAATGACGGCATTTTCCCAGAAACAAAAATTCTGGGCCCGAGAGAATAATTCTGAAAATCGTTCGTTCTAATTTCCTTCCAAAAAAATTACAAAAAACAAAAACCTATATACTATGCAACTTATCCTTGGGCCAAAGCAAGTTTCTTTCTCTGCTGATGCTCGGCAACCTTATAATCGACCACTTGACGGAACAAATTAGCATACAAGATGCAATCTTGACTGCCATAAACAGCTGCCTGAACACCTGCCATCAGCTTCGCAATCTCTCGTCCGGAGAACCCCTCAGTCTTGGCAGCAGCTTCCTTGATGACATCATCATTCAGTCCCTTGATCTCTATCTTCTTCTGCTGTTTCTTGAAGAGATGGGCAAACAAGCCCGGTTTTCTTGCCCCGGCTTGCGCAATGTACTTGTCCAGATACAGTTTGAGTAGCTTCAAGCGTTCTTCCTCACCAGGCAAAGGGAATTCTAAGACCTCGTCTATACGGTCAGCCACGGCCGAATCAAGATCACCAGGCCGGTTGGTAGCTAGGGCGAGGACTATGTCTTTCGACTGGTCACCCGTACGGAATAAGAGTGCGTTTAGTGCACTCCTTTGGGCTTCACTCATATAGGTTTTATTCCGCCTGAAAATAATAATAATAATAATAATAATAATAATAATAATAATAATAATAATAATAATAATAATAATAATAATAATAATAATAATGTTAGTGTAGTGATTAGAATGGCATTAGAATAGAATCATCTTGATTAAAAATCAACAAAGTTGATTCTCTAACTGGACACGAACACATAAATCACTTCATTTATGCACACAGACAAGCACATGCCCAATTCTTCTTGTGAAAGGAGCAAAGAAATTAAAAAAATAAAGGCCATGACATACGATTATTTGACCGTAGTTTCTAGAAGTGCAAATTTCACTTTGGAAGTCACCAAGCGAGTATTTTTCAAATTAGGAAAATTTTGGAAATAATCTTGAGGGAGGTTTTACTTACTCGCACAAGAATGCATCTGCTTCATCAATGAAGAGCAACAAACCCCTGTTGGACTTCTTGGCCCAATCAAACAGCTGGTGGATCTTCGTGACAGCCTGAGAACCCAGTGGCGCAACATCACCTCCAGTCATCAGTGCATAATCAAGACCCTATAACAAAAAACAAACAAATATCAAACAACGGAAATTTCTCTGGATGAGGTAGAAAGTTTCTCCATATTTCCATATTCTGGATCCTCTAACATAAACCAGACCTTTTTCCAAGACAGGATTTTCTGCTTTTCCAAATACTTAATCGTTTGCTAAGAAGCATGCAAACAAATTATTTAACCAAACAATTAAATTAACTCAAGTCTTATGAGACGAAGAAGGTTATGATGTCACACAGATTTACGGGCAAGCTCCCTTGCAGCCATGGTTTTCCCTGTTCCTGGTGGCCCATAAAAGAGCATGTTTCTGAATGGTGCCTGATGGGCTTTTGTATTTGCTGTTGCACTCGCCAGCTGCTCAATCCGCTTCTGGAGAGAAGGGTGTAAAATGACATCACCAAAACTGTTTCCGTTCTGAGAGCCTGAACTTCTATTGGCCCCACGCAGGGAAAATGTGCTCAAGCCACGGGAGAATAGCCCAGACCACGGGTACTTCCCTCGAGAAGATTCTCGGATCAGAGATGGTTGTCCTAATATTCGGTCCACATAACTCCAAATCACCCTGGCACCTTCTCTGAAATTTTAAAAACGAAAAAAATTTATGTGAAACAATTGAAAGGATGGCATATAATATAATTATAACTGTTATCGTGTAATATACTAATATAAATGGATGGCTGAACAAGTCAGCTGTGATTCTTTTATTGTTTCAGCAAACATTTTTCCTTGGTAACTACACCTGGGCTTCATCAAAATTTGAACATTGAAACCCATTCCATTCCGAACGATATTCCACATGATAGTACCTTGTAGTGTAGACCCCTGCTGCTAAAGCTGTTACTCCACCAACAGCTACAACCAATTTATTTTGATCCGTTAAAATAGCTCGCAAACCTCCTGCATTTTGATGGGGAACACTTGCTAAGCATCACATAATAATAAGGTGATCTATTAAATCTCCTTCAAAACCTTCACCCACAATAATAGTAATAAAAATAATAATAATAATAATAATAATAATAATAATAATAATAATAATAATAATAATAATAATAATAATAATAATAATTTTCCATCAATTGCAGGAAGCATTACAGTCTGCATATATAAATAACCAACAAATTTTGCATATAAATTATATTAACTTGTCCAATAAGTAGAAAATGAATCTCCAATGCCAGCAATACAACCAAAAGCAGCTGATATCGAATCCATGCTACTTGTAAACGTGTAAACAGCGGATGGGGCATGAGCCGCATGGCAAAGGAAAAGCAATAGCCAAAGCAAAAGCCCCTCCTAAGTCCCAATATCAAAGATAATGCATTTTATTGTATAATGAAAAAACCCCAAGGACGAAAAAATAAAAAGAAAGAAGAACCTCCAATTTGATCGAAAGTTGTGTTGATAGCCGCAACCCACTTCTCACGCTCCGCATTTGCACGTTCAATGAGCATTCTCCTGTTGACATCCTCTGCAAGCTTTGATTCATGGGCCCTACCCTCGGCCTCCGCCATAGCCCTAACTTTTATAGTCTCACGTTCTATCTCGGCCTTCTCCCTTTCAGTCTGCAGACGTTGTGCTTGAATTTGCTCTTCTGTGGCTCGCCTGGCTACCTCTTGCCTCATAGACGACTCCTCTTGCATTTTCACAAGTTCCTGATTTCTCGCTCTTTGATGCTCATTCTCAGCCTGAACAAAGTCAGGATCACCTGGTGTTCAATAATTACTAAAATTGCTCTTTTTTCTGGATATGAACCAAAAAGGGATCACAAACCTGCATTCTTTTTCTTGCCAACTCATCCTCATACTTAGCCATCTGTGATTTTATCTGTGCTTGTTGCTGAGCTAGCTTTTTCTGTTCGTCATAGACTACCCTTTGCCTCTCCTGTCAAAATTAGAGTGCTGCTTTTTACGTTTGTTGTTAAAGGTAAAACATAAAATTCTTACATCCATAAAAATGGCATCTGTGAACTCATGGATAGAAGATGATGAAAATCTCAAATTTGAATGGAACTACCATTAATTATTCTAATACCAGGGCTCCAATTTATTGATCCTAAAGCAAATTCTCATAAATAAATGCTGAAATCAGAAATTGTTGATCAGAATGAGATTAGAGCAGAACAACTGCTGTTAATAGGGACTCTAATGTGAAACATCATCTAAGACAGCATATTACATAAAAAAAAATCGGAAAACTGCGTTTATTATTTATTCACAGATAAAAAAAATTACAACTCATATTAGTAAATGAATCTTACAGCTTAGCATTGAAGTCACGAAATGGAATCCATAACTCCCATATTGAGGTCATATATCTGTAGGATTGGACGCATGGGTTGGAGAATATACATATTTAAATGGACTATTATTAATTTATTCGAATTACAAGGTCCAACTTATTGATCGAAAAGCAGATTCTCCTAATGAATGCTTAAGCGAGATAAAATGTTGACTCGGAGCAGAACAACTACTGTTTCTAGGTAGTCTTTTGTAAAACAATCTAAAAGACCTTGTGCATAGTTAAGAAAAAACGCAGGCTCTATTCAGAGATAACGAAATTACAACTAATATTAGGATATGAATCTTACAGCTTCAGCCTGAGTCTGCATTGCTTTGAATTCCACCACTTTAGATGTTAACTCTTGCTGTTTAGTTTCTTCTTGCTTCTTCATCACTTCAAACACCTTCATTAATCAAATACAATCAAACCCATCATTATCTTGTATAAAAAACAGTTATGGGCGTGTGCTTCACTGGAAATAGGCTTCAAAGTTAACCACATATTCCCAGAACATAAAAATGTAAATTTCTGCTTCCCACAATTACTAAAATTCTACAAAACCCATAAAATAAACACATCAACCAATATGAGGCTGAAAGTGAAATGAGGGGTAAAATCCTTAATTTTCCTCAACGTGCCGGAACCGTGACTTTTGTTCCTTTCTCTTTTGCTCAACTCTCTTCCTTTTGTTTTGAGTTTTTTTTTTTTTTTTTTT